CCCCCCCCCCCCCCCCCCCCCCCCCCCCCCCATTAGATGATGCCGTTAGTCAGGACAAAAAGGCAAGTAGTAAAATATATCTAGAGGAGAGGCAGAAGAGATCAAAGCCACGGCACAATCTTTAGTAAAAATGCCCCTGAGGTGCCTGTGTGGCAGCTTAAACTGGGAACAGACCTTTAAGGCCCTTAAAAACATATTTTCTCAATCAAGTTGTTATTATGAGTGACTGGTTCCTACATACACAGAACCAAATTTTCTGCCAAAGTTACATCCGTTTTAGTTATGACAGCTTTCTGTATTTCTTTTTGTTCTCTTCGTGTCTGTCTCACTTTCTTGAAGTGGTCGGAACACAGTTGGAAAAGGGTGATGTGACTGGTCTTTACATACATCTCTATCTTTGGGGAAAACGCCTGTGTCCTAGTATGACTGAGTGCTGCCAGGAGCCCAGAAACGGAACAGAAAAAGAGCACTCTGCATGCTCTCCACACAAGACCTTGTAAGGTAGAAGTTTCTTGAGTCTTTCTCTGGGTTGTGTAAATATGGGCTCTTTGACCAAACACTCTGCTGCGCGCGCGCACACACACACACACACACTTTCTCTGACCCCAGTGTTGTGGGGGTTACACACACACACACACACACACACACACACACACACACACACAATAGCTTCAGTCAGGGCGAGCCAGCCAGCCAGCTTACCAGCTAATTCCAGCAGCTACAGTCAGTCTCCAGCGTGCATGGAGCATTAACCGCATGGAAGGGGGGTCGATATTTGTTATCCCAAAAATTGGACCACTGCCCAAAGAGTTGGAGGGGGGTTTGTTTTCATCACACTATGCCTGTTTGTTTATCTGTTAGCAAGCTAAAAACATAAATGAATCTGCACAAAACCAACCGAGGCTAAAGAGGTGAGTTTGGTGGAAATGCAGTGGCTTCACATTTGAGGGCATATAACTTCTAAACGGATTCCCGTGATAAAATCCAACCCAGTGAGCTGATCGTGAATGTATTACAAGAACTGGAAGTGGCGTAAAGTCATTCAAAAGAAAGTTAATCAGGACAAGAAGTAAAATATTTCCAAAATGCCACAGGGAACAGATCTTAAGAATGCCATAAACCTGCTCTAATGAATATTTTCATATTAACAAAGGATCAAACAGCTGAGTTGCTCGTAGTGATGAACCCACAAAGAATTATCACCCAACTGCAGTTCCCCTCAGCTCTACGACTCTATTTTTGTTTTACAGCCTGCAATTTAACTGTTTTGGTTTGCTGATCAACCTTATTTCCAGCCGCAGCTGGTTATAGCAAAAACGCTCTGATAAATCGACTGTACACTACCTACCTCAGCACCACACGGCAGACAGACAACTAGCTGGTGAACACAGGGGAGAATTTAACTTCTAATATATAAAAATATATTTATCTTGGGAGTTGGTCAGGACCAAAAAGACTATAAGAAGAGATAGTTAATTTGAATGAAAACATTGCCTGGTGTCCATATGACATATGATATGTCAATATTGTGGTGTTAAAATTAATTATTACTACCTTTGTTGTGGTCTCTTCCCGTAACAAATGTGGTGATTGACCTGCTAGCACTGTGATATTCGTGCTCAACAATGGCTACAATTGGCACGTGGTGGTCACAGTCAACACATTGGTATGCAATTCAAACATGTTGCATTGGTGTGTCTTGACAGCTTAATTGTGTTTGTGGAGGTGTGTGCTCCACTGAGCACAATCAACTCTCTGTTTATTTGGATGGAAGGCAATCCTCTCCACCTATGATCAGCGTAAAAGGTCAGATTGAACAACAGTCAATTTGCCTGACATGAAAAGACCGACATGGCTGGATTAACTCTCCATATCAGTGATGAATCACAGCTAGACACCAAAGTCACTGCTCTGTCTGCTTTAGTTTTATTTACTTCAGTGGACTAATCTGTAGCAGTTGTACCTCCCAGTGGGTCCAAAATCTACTAAGAGGGCCTCAGACACATCCTGATCTAAAAAAAATAGGTTAGGGCAGCTAAATCAGGGCTAAAAATAGAACAAAAAACATGCAGCAACCCACCCTAGTCAGATTCTACCACAGGAGACAAGCCTAGAGTTAGGTACAGATAGATTTTACGAATCCCACCATTGTACATATTAGACAAGCGGTTTAGAGCTTCATAAAGCTGAAATATTTTTAACTTCGGTAGCGACCTTTGGAAACAACAGAAAATTGGAAGAGAGTGTTTCAAAACCTGGTTCCCTGTGGCGGCTCAGGAATCACGGAGGCGACAGAGCGACCTGCCACTCATGACGTGGTTATGTAAGCTAGGAGATCACACTACGCCACTGAGGGGGTAAGGAGAGCTTTGGACAGAAAAGGAAGCAAGGAGGGGGGGGGGCATGGGAAGTGACTTTGAATTATAAACAAGGTCACGGCTGATTCAGCCTTTTATCTCACTCTCCCTCCCTTTCTCACTCTGATGTTGTTCCACTTCTTCCCTCCCTCCTCTCCTCCTTTTCCCTCTTCACACCCTCTCCGTCTCCTCTATGGGCTCCAGTATATGAAAGTGGACTTGGCAAGTTCGTAAAGGCTGTCTAAGACAACGCTGGGTGCAAATGACATTACACTCGCTGCCTGTGTCTGTGTGTGTGTGCGTGCGTGCATGCATGTTCTGTGATTTAGAGTGCAAGCTAGCTAATCTTCTGGCAGATCCAGTGGAAGTCCATCTGAACAAGGTGAACAGAAGGTGGGATACATGTAGCTGCCAAGGTGTCTTCTTAAATGCCAGAACAGCAGGACAAATAACAAGAATCCCTGCTCGCGCTCACAAACTATGTTATGTTTCCAGTCACTTTGTATTCTAAATATTTCTTCTTATTCCTGTTAACAGGGATGCAATGGTCAACTCGTGAATAAGAATAGAATATAATTTTTTCTTTCTCTTAAATAATAGTAATTAGCTTTCAGACTGTAGGTCAGACAAAAACATTTGATATCAGCTTGAGCTCTAGGAAGCAATGATGGACATGTTTTACTATTTCTTGACATTATACAGACTATTAACACAAAAATACCTAAATAGTTCCTCAATAATGAAAGTAATCATTAGTTGTAGCCCCACTGGCCATGAAAAACAATGTGGACTAATGTGTTTCCACATAAAAAGTCTAAACCAACAGCTGGATCAATGTTATAAAACATTTTGAATAACGGAAATATTGTAATTGTGAAAGATTCAAAACAAGGTTGTTGCTATGCCATTCATATTTGCAGCAGGAGAAATGTATTAACCTGCTCTTTCCTGCCAAGGTCACTTGTAGCTAGTAGTTCCAACCTGTTTGCAGAGGTTTTGACTAGAGCTGGAATAGTTAATTGATTACTATTTTGATTATTTCTGTCAATCATTTAAGCTATTTTTCTAGCAAAAATATATTCTTTATTTAATATTATTGTTGAACTGAATATCTTGGGGGTTTTGACTGCTGACAATTTTATAGACCAAACAATCTATTCTTCTGGCATTTACCACTTTGCAGGTGTTGGTTTCACACTATGACTTTACATGTCTTTGTTTTCATGTAATGCACCTGTGATTTTACATAAATAAAGAATATGTGCCATGAACCTGTGTGCGTTTCCTCTTTGCTCACCTATCTGCAGTAGTACAGGCGTCACCAGCGCCGTCTCCATGGCGTAGCAGAACTCCCGGCCGAACATCACGGCCCCATGCATCACCCATCTCTTCAAGGTGATGCCTTCGATCGATCCCTCGCTCGCCTCCTCCTCCCCTCCTCGACCTCCTCCTCCTCTGTTTCCCGATCCATCCGTCTCGCCTCCTGCTCCTCCTTTCTCCTCATCCAAACCTGATGCCGTGGAGTTTTTGCCTTTAACCCCACCCACCACAGAACCGACCTGCATAGCGTCAGCCTCTGCGTTCTGGGGAGGCATGGCGCAGGGCATGCACGCAGTGAGAAAAATAGCGCACCCCTTCTAACACACTGAGAACAACCTACCAAAGAAAAAACAATATTTCCCTGCTTTTACTAACTACTCGTACTTATCAAGTTACTTGAAGTTACTTTAAAAGGAATAGTGACTTTGTAGCAGTAATTTAATTACAATCTTTACAAAGTTACAAATTGCAACCTGTGGTAGTAACTTGTAGTAAATGAAAAAACAGATGTAGCATAGAAGCATCTAAAAATTTAAAAGAAAAATGCAATGAGTTGTCCTCTAAATAAGTCGCATCTAAAATAAGTTCTCCTCCAACAACACTACAGCTTCAAATTCAACACATTTTAATCCTCTTTTGTTTCCCCCCAGAAAATAATAAAATCAGCTTTCCAGATGCTTGTAGAAAATCCCAAAGAATTACGGAAGCAGTCGAATTTTCACGGGAAGAGTGTGCGGCACATTCCAAGAGTGAGTTTGCTTCTATGTGTGTGTGTGTGTGTGTGTGTGTGTGTGTGTGTGTGTGTGTGTGTGTGTGTGTGTGTGTGTGTGTGTGTGTGTGTGTGTGTGTGTGTGTGTGTGTGTACGTTTATGGCTTTTTTCTCATCGAGGTTTCTCCCTCTTTTTCTTACTGTCTATTGCAAGCTGTAAAAATCCATATAGAAGACCATTCGGTGAGTTCCAGAGTCATTTTGTATATAGAGGGCTGGATGGAGTGCGTGGGGGCAAGGAAGGAGGGGGGAGGGGGTGGAGGGCAGGCAGCGAAGGCAGGCGGAGTTCCTCTGAAAATCCCCATCGATTGGCTGATCAATCTGTAGGGAAACACCAACAGGACGACAACCGGCAGGTGGGGAAGCACAGAGCCACAACGTAGGCGCCCCATTGTTGTGGAGGAGAGAAGACCGTGGAGGTGGTTGAGAAGGTATGAAGGAAAAAAAAAGAAAAAACACCAGTTAGAAACTAAAGTTTAACTTTCACACTTTGCTGCATTTAAACAAAAAGCAATTCTGTAGTTGTCCTGTCATGCAGTAGGTCAGGGTATCAGCATGAACACACAAGGCAGAAGAAGAAGTGGTGAAGGTACAATGTGATGATCCAGAGGGCAAAAAAAAAATAAAAAATCACTGCTTTTCTAAAGAGTTGATACATGTAAATGCTGGAAAAATGACAATTTGGGCTTCTATAGAAAACAATGTGTCTATGTTTTGACGTGCATCATACACCAGCTGTGCTTTTTAAAATTAATTGCTTTATCAGTGCTGCCTATGCAATAGTTGCCAGTCCAAGCCTTTTTGTTTTTGGTCCACACTATTAAGTGATTGTGTATCTATGCGCATATTAAACATGCGTATTCAAACTATTCTGCATTCAGTGTCTGTATATCTAAAATCTATTATCATCTTGGTTACCAACACATTTAAGCCTTCTCTCAAATCACTTGACTGTTAAACTCCGCCTGTCTAACAAGGTACAAAGACAAATTTTCCCCATGGTAAACAGCCCTAGCAGCATTTTTGTAGCTTTTCTTGTTTTGGCGTCACAGGTGCATTCACAGAAATTACCAAAAAAAAATAACAACATAGTACTAACTTCTTTCTCACCTCTTCTGAAATGTCTCCATGCAGAGTTTTTAACTTTTGCTTCATTTTAAATACAATAGAGAGAGTTGAATTATGTTTGTGGTGTCAACAACAATAAAATACTTTTATAATTTCAACAGCAAGAGTCCCAATAAAAACTGAAATTAAGGCCTGTGAAAATGGGGTCATTACTTCTGGATCAACACACCCACATGCGTTTGAACCATAAGCACAAACATACTCTATCTTTTCTATGAAAAGAGTCAGTTTTAAACAGTGTAATTGGTTTGAGGACATGATTCATCCTCTCAGACAATTGGACAATCTTTCAAAGTAGATGGGAAGGACGTGAAGAATGACAGCACGCAACGCTACAAACAGAGGGCTTGTATGTGTGGTGAGAAGAAATGAGAAATATGTGGACAGAGCACGAGAGGAGAGCAGGGAGTGAAGGCCAGCTAAAAACACGCCTCATAGAGAGAGAGAAAAACACACTGCATGGATGTTCAATATGATTTCCCACAGAGTTTAATTCCAAAGTGTCTATTTTTTTTTGTGCAGCAGGGCCACTGGATTATAACCCATGGAGACGGGATGTTTCGTCACACCCAACACATCCAACACACACACACACACACACACACACACACACTCTAATGCTTGCCACGTGAACGACACACACACACACACACACACATCATAACAGTGCTAAGACCCTCATCAAGCCTCTTATGGTGAGATTGAGAAAGAAAACAAAATGAGAGAGAGGGAGGGAGGAGAGAAGGAGATGAAGAAAGAAGGACGGACGCTAGCAGGGTTTGAACAGGTGGAAGGTGGGAGGAATGAGAGTAAGAGAAGGGAAGATGTTGAGAGGGAAGAGACAGACAGACCAGATGGAAGCAAGCAGAGAGGTTGAGAATATCTTCTTACTTTCTCTGGTTCCTATCATCATCTCTCCTCTCCATTTTCAGTGCTCTCGCATGGCCCCATTAACATTCATGATGCACTCAAGAGGGTCATGAATGTTTTAGCCACACACACACACACACACACACACACACACACACCCTCTTCCTAACCTGACCTCACACACCGCAGCAAATTACATAACAGCCCCTCTTCTTTACTAATTATCGTCAAAATTTTGTGAAAATTAGAGGACGCACAACTTCCACTGTCGGGGGAGAGAGTGTGCCGAAACACCCAAACTGGCACAGGTCTCTTTGGCAAGCAGTCTCACAACATACCAACAACAACAACAAATACAACATCAAAATGTTCAGATCTGGTTAACCATCGGCCTCTAAATATTTAAGTGCAATGGGAAAACAAGTTATGGATAAGTTGGGAATGACGGGAACATCCAAGTGAGGTGGAGATGCTGAAATTATGGTCTTGGTTGGTTGAATGGTACGCACATTAATGTGATGTTTATCAAACAGCATGCAGAAGGAACACACAACATGAAATGTTTAACCTTTAACAGGTTGCATTATTTCTGCGTAGTAATTAGGGCTGCAATTAAATATTATTTTAAGACATTTTATCAATTTATGGGGAAAATAAAAGCAGCAATACCACACAATAACAACTGTGACAGACTTTATAATATGGATAAAAAACTGGAGTAAATGTTCTCTGTGATCTCACATCAGTTTCACATCTCTGCAACTTGATTTTTAAACTTCCAACTGATGGTATGGGAGTCAATGGGCTAAAATACATAGAAAAGTTAGTGTGGTCTTTTGACATATTTCACGACACAACAAAAAGCATTATCAGTACCAGTAGTCAATTATATTGTGCTCTGAATGTGGCTCATTTTGTTAAAATAAAAATACTTTAAGCGACTGAAGAACGGGCACCTGCTAGGCATACAGTAATGAGCCAGATGACTCAATAAGCCGAAAAAATGGTGAACAGCAGTTGCAGGGGCGCCAACAGAGATGAAACAGGAGCTGAATGCATTTGAATACTTTTTGTAAACATTAGGAGCAATTCATTCATCTGTTCAGATTGGCTGTTTCGAAAGAGCAACCCATCAATTAGAGTACTGTCACGCATGTGTAGACCCTTAGAATATGTAACCACAGTTGTTTGACACAAACAAGATTAAAATAACAAGTGAATGTACTGCTATCCATCCATGCATCTCTCAGTCCTTCAAAACACACAGACAGCACACTAAGCAGTGAAATATCTGATTATAGGTCAGTCCACATGTAGCACCACTCAGTTGTCCTATTGTTTCTGTGTGTCCGTAATATGAGCTAAGCTTATCTTGAATTTCACCCAAGCAGCAACCTCTAGAATCCAATGCAGAAGTTCCTTAAACCTTCATAATTAACCCTAATGTCCACTTGATTTATGACCTCAGTAAACACTTTCCTAATGTGTTTATGGTCTCAATTGCTAGTTTCAAGTCTTCTTCAATACAACATGATGTTAATCAAATTATGGTCCAATTTAGAGGAAAACAGACGATAAAGCAGGGTATGCTTCAGGGCATGGTTACCTTGTGACTGACAAGTCACTACCACACTGACCTGTCAATCAGGATATGGGCGAGTCATATCCACTGCACTAAGTACATTTAACTAACTGTTAACTTGTTTTTTTATGCTGTCTGTGATTATCTTACAATGAGTTTTCAGTTCCTGAAAGAAAAAATCTGCATTTGGTTGTACTAAAAAAATACTCTGAAAGACGAGAGTCGGCTGCTAATTTTTACGGTAAGTACATTTTGCTTTAAGCTAAACATTAGCATCCCAATTAATATCACAGTTACGTGAATTACAGATGCACCTTACTAACCAAGCTCCACCCTCTCATCCAAATATGGTCATGCTCAGGTTTCCCCTAGGCCAGGCATAAGATCCAGTTCCAAAAAACCAAGATGGCAACAGCAGTCCAGAAACCAATTGGTGACGTCACGGTGACTACATCCACTTATTTTATACAGTCTATGATTTCACCTCAGCTTTTCCTCGGAGGCAACATAAACAACATACAGTCTCACGTGAGAGCGGAGAGGGAGTGAGTGAGGGGAGAGCAGAAATGGAGAAGATCAAGTTTAAGTCAAGGGAGAAGCAAAGGAAGGAGAAAGAAAGACAAAATGGGGGAAGGTAGGCTAAGATAAGGCCTTAACTGGAAAACAGTCAAAGTTAAATATTTGCCAAAAGAATTAGCTTTTTTTGGACAGAGAGAATAAAAGAAAGACAGACAGATGACAAGAGCAAAACAAGCAGGAGGGAGGGAAAGGAGATGCCTGTTAAAGTCCAAGGTCAGGGACAAATTAAATGTCTGTCCCTTCCTGGGTCTCTCTCTCACACACTAAACACACGTAACGCCAGGTCTATTTTAGTCAGTGTTTATTCTTGCGCCACAGACCAGATTACCTGTGCATCAGGGCAAGCTCAGTCTTTCTCA